AAGATTCACAAGTTCTGCTCCTTACACCCTACTCCTATACTACTTCCATAGTAACATATCCTGGGAGTAGGATGGAAGTAGGATAGGAGTAGGATAGGAGCAAAGGCATGAGCCCCCTCCCAGCTTATATGTAGCAGTAACCGAATTCCTAGATACTTACAGCTTCCCCTGATTTAGGGAGGGGTTTAGGATTGAAGGGCAAGTGGGGTGGGTTGGTAACCCAGCGCTTCACCTTGGAGGCACTGGGACGTTGCCTCTCAAAGCTTTTGAAACACCTGTCTGTTTCTCGCTACGATCTTGGATGAAAGTGTGCAGAAGGAAGTTGAGGGCCCCAGACGTCACATAAGTCGAAGGGAGCCTACCTGTGTGGTATCTGGCAACTCAATGCAGAATCCTGAAAACGTGAGATCTGTGTGATTTTTGGACCCCTGAGCCGGGATAGTCTCGCTGCAGAACACTTGCTGATGACATGGCTACATCGTTTCGTTCAGAGCTCAAGGTTTCGACGACTTGCCACACCCACCCTGATATTGAGAGGCCTCAGTGCGTCATGATGCGTCGATACGAACAGAACGCCAATATGTGTAGCCGCTGGATTTACGATCATGACACACTCTGCAACACCTTAGACTTAGACCAATGGTTTGCAAGGCTATATCACCCCGGAGATCGCCGGCAAGTTCCCAGGCACGGACCTTTGAGAATGGAATGGGTTGTGTTGTTTGTCGTCTAGCCACTGGCGACACTTTTGCTTGTCGGGGAGGGGGCGGCTCCAAACCGTAAACTCTGCACCCCAAACTTAATCCCTCAAGACCCGCAAGCTTTCAGACCTCAGCCCAAAAGCCAAAACGCCAAATTCTAGACTCCGAGCCTTGGGAGCTGCAATGTTTCTGAATTCCCAACCACGAAGCCTCCTCGAGAAGTTTGGCCACTACGAACATAGCAAGCGTCCCTCAATTCAAGCGTTGTTTTCTTTGCCGGAGTTTGTTGTCCAAGCAGCCTTCGCTGCAGACCCCCGTCCAAAGGAAAACCTTCATGTGTGGAATCGTCGTCAAGTCTAGGATACCGGATCCCTTGCAATCCGCCCAGATGAGACCCAGCTTGAAGGACCAGACGCCTTACGGCATGGCCGAAGCTCCAACCCCCCCCCCCAATTAAACGACATAATCACCGACACAACAACGGAAAGTATCGCAAGAACAAGCGCGCTACGCCGGAGAGGCTATCTTTCCCCGAGCATGGGTTTGAAGTTCGCTGACGTGCCCAACGGCCTCGCCGCGATCTCCAAGGCTGGGAAGCGAAGTCCGAAAGCCCAAACGACCGCAGGGCGGCAGATTCCAAATCCCAAAGCCAGCCCATATCCCAAATGTTGCAATCTCTGCAACCTGAAACCTTAACACCTGAAACCCGGCTTAATTTCATTGATGCACAAAAACCCGAATCCTGACCCCCTGAATCCTGTAATTCCTTTAGCCCTCTCTCTCCCTCACGAATCACTGAACCCAGAAGCGCGGGGGACCCGAGGTGCCGGCTGGCGGCTGGACTCAGATCCTGCACCTCAGCTCCCAAGTTCTCCCAACTTCGCCCGTGGGCCGGCACCCAAAAAACGCCTCGAAGGAGTCGGCAGCTGCAAATTTCATTCAAAGTTAGAGATTTCTCAAGCATAGCAGGCCGGTGCAAGGAGGATCCGTTTGTTTGTTCAGGGTGTGTGTGCGTGTGTGTAATTGGATCCCCTTACTTTCTCGTGAAACAGATCGCCGGTGGCACGCGTTCTCGAACGGGAGAGAAAGGGGGAGATGCGGAACCGGGTTCGGGTCTTGAAGAGGAAGGTTGGCAGAAGAGGACTATGCGGAGGAGACCATGTGGAAGGCTTTTTGACTAAACGCCATAAGGGACCCCGACATAGAACAACCATTACACTCTCTTCGTCTATTTTTGCTGGATTTTGCAGGAGCCTCAGCTCCTTTGCAAGCTCCGAGACGATGCATCTCCAACCTAAAATCCCGGAGACCTGAAGCCCCCAAACCTGTAAACCGGGCAATAGCCAATCATGATATCTCTTGGGGTTCTGTCTTCGTTGTTGGCGGAGGGTTCAACCCTGCAAGCCTCAACCCAAGAGTTTCAGAGAAGCCGAGGCTCTACATGGGCTGGTGCGAGGTGTCTAGGGGTGCAGGCACAGGGCAGCCTTGGTGGCCTTCAGTTTCAAAGGAACAGCTCCCATCTTCACACTGCGATCCGTGACATCGTTGTTTTTGCTACACATCGTTTCCATGCCTTCTTGCTACTGTGTTTGGAAGAAGAGTATGGGGGGGTATTCGGGCGGACGGATTTTGGCACGCTTGCATCCAATGCTCACTGGTTTCCGAGAGCCGGAGTGGGATTGAAACTAGACGGTGTCATTCGGAGACGACAAGATGCTTGGTTGCAGGAGGCGGATTGCTGGAGATGTTTCTGAGAGAACCTGATGTGGTCTTGGATTCCACCCGGGCATGCGCTTCTCGCTGTTGGTTCGGGCAGACGGGAAAGAATGTTGAAGCAACAGGCAACCTCCTCGGCGAAGCCCCTAAACCCTTGATGTCTAAACCCTGAATCCCAAAATACGACGGCCTGTGCTGAAAGCTTGCTGCCCGGAGGCTCTGACATCGCTAGCGGCCGTCCGGGCGACTTCGGCTGGTACGTCGGGGGCCCGTCTGCGTGTCTTCGGTCGCTTCTGACTTCACAACTCAAGATTTTAGCGGTTCTGTGCTTCGTGGTGTTTTCAGGCTTCGGGCTTGGAATTCCATGAGCCGTAGACTCGTTACCTGATAAACCTGAAAGCCCCAGGCCTCGAAGCCCCACCCACACCTCCACGTCAAATGCAGAACCTCGCCCTCAAGTTTCGTGATAGGTGGGAGCATGTATAAGCCGGAACACCGCTAATCTAGGGGCCTGAATACTTATCAATATTCTTCTCCCACGTTCCCGGGCATACACATAGTATGCATCGATATTATACTCCTCTCTCATCTGTATCGCTATGCTAGACCAGAGCCGCTTTAAACCCGATCATAGCCGCTTGTGGACCTCTATAAAGCTGTATAAACGCTTGTTCGAACTCCGCGAAAGCGCTTCAGAGCCCCATAAGGGTCGTGCACAACTCTCTTTAGCCGCAACCCCAATGCAGCCCAAATCCATAAACTCTGCCATATCCGAGCTTCGGGTTTAGGGTAGGTTTAGGGTTTCAGGGCTGAGGGGGTTCAGGGCTCAAGGAGGATTCCTTGGCTTGGCTTGGCTTCCCAAGAGTCTCCCAGGTCCTGACCAGCGCCGACCCAGAGGCTTTGCGGCTGGGTTTTGGGTGTTTTGGAGTCTTCGGCTTTGGGTTTCTGGCGTTTTGATCGACGGCTTCGAGTTTTTCCGGAATGTTTCATTCTGAAGGGGGGCAACAGCCAATGCTTTCATCATTCTCATCATTATCATCATCATGGTCGTCATCATCATCAGCAGCAGTAGCATTAGATTTGGATGTGGCTGTGTCAGTAACAGCAGCAGGAGCGACGACAACGAGGTCAGACAGAATCTATCAGTACCGAATGAAGTGTTGCGGCGATTGGCTTCGAAGCTTTTGACGGGTTTTATTCCTACTGCGTCCAGGATATAAAGTGGCAGCTGCAGGGCAAAGTTTGCTAGAAGGTACCCTGCCGACAGAAGACGAGCAATAAGTATATGAGCCCCTGAGCCTCAAACCGTCGCACATGACCTAGAGATCTCATGGGGCTCCTGTGAATTTTGTTTGTTCTTGCGCCTACTCTTCCGTATTTTGGGATGACCCGCTGTGACTTATCGAGTGCAGAGCTTAGGGCATGTAAGTGCTTTCCTGGCTTCGGACAATCTCCGGTCCTACAGTCAGTGCCTAAAGTCCTGTTCATGAATCCCGCCCCTGGAACCTAGCCTAAATAGCATTCCTTGATATCTGCTTGTCACGCTAGTGTAAACTAGAAGCATTATCCGCAGTAAGAGGACAAGACGAGCAACTGACACAAGAGGCAACAGCTGCAAGGAGGCCGCTAGATAGTAATCGCAAGTCCCGGAGGAGAAGAAGAAAAAGCTCAATGCTGAGTTGGCGAACCTCGCCGGAACAGCCGTCGGTGGGATGAGCCAGATAGCCTTGAAGCCTACTAGTAAAAGCTTCAAGTCCGCCCTTTCTGAATCCTGGGGTTCTAGGGCCAGGGTCTATGGCTCCGGGCCGTTGGGTTGTGCTTTTCAGGGTTTCAGGGTGCACGAGTTCCGGGTGTCGCCAAGGACGTAGGCAGGTGATTTCCAGTCTGCAAGAGGTAATCGCACTCCCTCGCGAGTGTGACCGTTGGTCGTTCGGGTGCAGGGGTTGCAGAGCAGCGTGTACTTCTGGAGTTTGTCGTGTCCTCGTTTTATTTGGCCTTGGAAAAATGCTTGGGTCGCCTTATGTGAAGATTACTTGTCTGCCCGCTCATCCTAGTGGTCAGGGACCTCGACAGGTGGTTTTATCTTCAAAGCAAAGAAGGTCGCAGCAGCGTTTAGGAACCCTGCGGCCGAAGCTTGAACGCCTCATAGTTGAACCCAAACTCCAAGTCGTAATTCTCGGAATATCAAATAAATCTGAACCCCAAACTCTAAGTCCTGAACTCTAAACCGAGAGCTCAGCAAACCTTTTGACCCTGAGCAGGTATGGTGCTAGACTCCAGCCCTCTGCAGTTCCCGAATACTCAGCTGTTAGGCTTTCTGGGTTTTTGCACCTTTGGCAGTGACTGTGATTTTGTGACAATGATGATGACACAAACCTTCGTCTCGCTTGGGGAGTTAAAGCGAAAGCCCAACTGCTGGAGAAGCTTAGGAATGGTCGCCTGGCAATGATGGCCATCATCGGCATGCTTCTTGGCTGCGTGCCAGTTCAAGTAATTGTGCCGCGGTCAGTAATGCGGCGAACAGTACTGTGCAACTCTTGTGTTGACGTTTTCTGTTTTTTCTTGCCACTGTTCTGACGATGGTTCGTGCTAGTTTAGATCTTCTCGGACCCCCGAGCGTTCTGACACGACGTATAGCCCTGAAAAGCAGAGGTTTCAGTCACAATCGGAAAAACATGAACAGCGCACACCGGGAAGTAGGTGCATCAACGTGGCCCCCAGGAGCTAGCGAGGGGTTCGCACCCGACAAGGGCCGCCCAACGCCCAGTTGCTTTCCTCCAGGTTTTACCAGGACGGCCTCACTGGCTCAGCCTGGGGTTGCTCGGTGGCAGATCCGCATATGTAACGGCTCCCGGCTAATTAGCACATTTACACAGTAGGGTGTAGTAGTAGAATGTGGGTTCAGAAGGCTTAGGGTGCAGGATATTACAAATGTCAGGTTTAGTGTTCGGGATGTGCTTGTGGGGTTTGACAGTTTGGCATGCATCTGTCGATTTTCGGGTTGAAGATATACACGCCCCTGTCTCCAAAAGACCGTTCACAAAGCAGCTCAGACGCCGAACATGGTCAACGTCAGTGTCCGTAGGTTTGAGGTTTCTGTTCCGGCTGCAGGGTCCCATTTGAGGCTTAGGGCTTGAGGCTTGGAGCCTTCGGGTTTTGGGGTTTCGGAGCTTTCGAAGGGTTGGAGCCTTGAGCCTTCATCGCGAAGAAGCATCCTGGACTGTCACCGAAGCTTTAGAGTCTGAGACAGGTGACTGGGCGAACTTCACCGAGTCTCCGCTGCGCGCCTCCGCCCCTGACTTCTCTGCGGAGCCGCTGGGGGGCAAGGCTGTGAGTTTTGAGAGGGGGTTGTATCACAACGTAATCTCGCGAAAATTACTAGGACTTGTTCAAGCCTCTATCTCACGAATCAAAACGCACAGAGCGCAAAGGCGCAAAACCGGCATTTTTAGCTCCAGAAGCTGTGCGACTCCAGCCAGCAGCGCAAATCCCGGAACCTCCCCGTTCGAAACCCCAAACCCCTGCCCCTACAAAAAAAAACTAAACCCCAAACCCCCAACCAACCCTGGAGTCGAAACGGCTAAAAGCCGGAACCAAAGACCCCCGAAACCTTGAGCCTTCAACCTTAAAAGACAAGCACTGCTAGGTGGAAAAGGGTGTTTTAAAACACAAAAAGAAGCCCAACACCCAGCAACCGCAGGAGCTGGGCGTGACTCCGCCTCTGGGATTCTTCGACCCACTTGGCCTTAGCAAGTTTGACAACCCCGAGGCAGGGCTTTGGGCTTCAGGGCTTTAGGGCTTTAGGGCTTGCTGGCTTTGCGATCAGGGCTTCAGGGTTTCAGGCTTGGGGTTTAGGGCTTCAGGGGTTGACCATCCAGGGCTGAGGGCTTACTGTACGACCCCTGCCTCGGGCCGTCAGCGCCTGTACTAGATGTCGGTCGAGATCTTTTTGTGTGTGTGTGTGTGTTCTCTGTAAGTCCGACCGGCTGGGGGTTTGGGTTTACGGGTTCTCTTCGAGATTGCAGGGAACATGGGACGAGATTGCGTGTTGAGGTATTGAGGGGTGCTTGGGAAAGGCTTCAAAACAGACTATAGGTACTGAGAAGCGGAGGGACAGGAAGCTGGAGTCAAAGCACGGGTCTGTGCAACAGTCGCGGATGAGCCTTTTTTTGCGAAGCTGGGCACTCATCAAGCCCTAGCGCACGGGAGTCCGAAAGCCTGCAGCAACCCTCTTCTGGGAGCTGGCGCCCCCCGGCTCCAAAAGCGCTCTCCTCCGCCGCTCTCGCCTTCGTCAGATTGCGGCGCAGCAGTTCCGCCGAAGGCGCATTGTCGAGCTGCAGCACGGGCGCGCCGAGGGCCTCAGAGGGCTGAGCTGAAGGCCTTCTGCCTTGTGTTTTGTTTTTTTAGGGCTTCTGCCGGGCGGCTTTAGAACGGCGGAGGGTCTAGGTTTTTTTTACGGGCATGTTTTCGAGTTCTGGGGCTCTTTTGGGCTCCAGCTCTGCGGCGTTCACAGGTTCACGGCCCGAGGCTGTCGAGGGCGTCGGGGTTCGGGGTTTAGGGAGTGAGAATCACAAGTCCGATTTGACGGCTTGTGGGATTACAGGATGAAGGGTCCGCTATCAGAGTTTCACATGTGTGTTGTTGAGGTTCACTGTTTTCATTGGTGCTATGGCTTTGAGAGGCAAGGTTTCACGGTTTTGCCCCAGGCTGGCAGCAAGTTGGGGATTTCGGGGCGAGAATGCGGTGCGAGGTGCCGGTAGCAACTTCACAGCAGAACACCCGGCCGGAAGCCTTTACTTGTTCTTCAGCCTACAGCCCACCGAACCGCCAAAAAGAACCTGCCCTTAAACGGCCTAAACGTTTAAACTCCAAGACCGAAATCTCCGGCCGAGGTCTCCATGCTGGCGTGCATCGGATACATCGTTCCAGAGTTTGTGCGCTTTCCAGGCGGGCTCGGTGGTTGGAGTGTTGACAAGGAGTTCTAAGGGAGGACAGGCGTTAGGTCTTGCTTGGTGAGTTCTGCAGAGCGCTAACACAACTCAGGCCGAAGTTTGGAGACAGTATGCGCTGTAGTTTCAGTGAATCTTCTAATTGAGTCCAACACTGTGGGAAAGCGCTACACGATGTCTATGTACCCCGACGACTCGGGAAACCGACGCTATTGCTTGGAAGCCTGTAATTGCAGACACCTTCTGATGTTAGGCCCTGTTAGGCGTAAAGAATATGCGAGCCGGGCAATGTCTTTGGAAGAGCCAGGATATTGCGCCCCATCGCAGAACTTGGCATTCACGGCCGCCTGGCGAAGCAGATTTCAGCACCTGTGATTTCGTTCATTTCTTTCGGAGCCCATGGGTCCCGGGCCGCTGAAACGACCGCTCGAGAATGGACCTCTGATAGCGCATTGCATCTTACCTGGACTTCTGTCTAACAAATCCTGAAGGGGTCTTGATGGGCGGCGATCTCGCTGAGATCTGCCACAGCCCAAGTTCAGGAGTGCATCTTACATGGATTCTTGGCAGAGGACTTGTTGATCTCAGTCCCTGAACATGAACTCCGGATCCAGACAGGCTAGGGTGCCAAAGGAAGTAGGCAACCTCTTATAACTCTAATTGACATCTGACTTCATGTGTCCAGGTCCATGCGCCCTTAGCCTTAGCCTTCCAAGAAAGAGATCCTTCTTCCGCAAGCCGCAAAGGACATCCCCAACGGACTGAAGGGTGCGGCCGCCGTGCCCCTTGCAGGACCTCCTTGGAGCTGAAGACCCCCCGTAAGGTTAGGGAGAGGGGTCAAATCGAAACGCGGAAAGGGGTCAAATCCAAACGCCAAAAAGGGTCAAATGCAAGCGCGTTTCTGTCAGTGCAGTACTATTTACAGGGGGTTTGTGTGGCTTCCATGGTTTCCTTGGTTTCTATGGCTTCTATGGTTTCTATGGCTTGCATGGTTTCCTGGGTTTCCTTGGTTTCTATGGTTTATATGGCTTTCTTGTTTCTTTTTCCGTGCTTCTATGGCTTGCATGGCTGCCATGGCTTCCTTGGCCTTTATGGTTTCCATGCGTTCCGCGGTTTCCATGGTTTCCTTGGTTTCTATGGTTCCCTCGGCTTTCAGGGTTTGTGTGGTTTCCATGGTTTCCTTGGTGTCCATGGTTTCTATGGATTGCATGGTTTCCATGGTTTCCTTTGCTTCCATGGAGCCTATGCTTTCCATGGTTTCCATAGTTTCCTTCGTTCCTTTTATATCCATGGTTTCTTTCGTTTCCATGATTTCCACACTTGCGGTTGCGAAATAACCCCCAGTATTGGATTTAAGCAAGGATAGGCCCGCAATTGCATCAGCATGTCCATTCGTTGCTAAAACGATAAAAAGGAAAAACGATAATGTTATAGATATGTTGTCAAAAGATTATAGATAACATACGCAACCAAGGGCAAGAAGGGGATAATGTTTGAGGCTCAAGCGTGGATGAAAGGGAAGTCCAAGGGCAAGACCACGGGCCACGCCAAGGATGGACCAGGCCACCGCAGTGTCAATGCCTACGCGTCGGACCTCTTTGCAGGCCTTGAAGTTTCGGGGGCCATGGAGATCACCGCAACGGGCGTGCAGACAGCATCGCCTAGTGTAGGCATGTTAGATTGTGGAGCTACCGCATCGGCAGCACCAGAGGCTATTGTCAGAAGTCTGATATCAGCCGTTCTCACTCAGGACAAGGGTGCCAAGATTGAACTCGAGCAATCCGCGCGACCGTATTTCAGGTTTGGGAATGGGCGTTGGGGACGAGCTTTGTGCCGAGTACATCTGCGTAGTCATGTATCTGAACAACCAGAACTCTTTTCACTGTATGCGCTTCCCAACCCCAATCCCTACTACAACAATAACCTGGATAGGTCGTCCCTTGTGCCAATTCTCATGGGAATGGACTACCTTGGGCCCTCCTCTTCGAGCCTATCGTCGACCCACTGCGCCGCCTCACCCCGGAGCGCGTGCGGTTGGGAACTGACCGGAGGCCCCGTAGGCACGCAATCGTGCGCAAACTTTCGGACCGTAGTACGGGCAGTTCCTTCGACCCAAAACGCTGCGGCCTTGCGGCCAACCATGTGTTAATGGCAGCAAGGTCAGCCTCC